AGCAGAAGCTCAGGATTGGATCAAATGTGAACGTTCACACTCATGTGAACATTCAGAGGATTTGGCACAGTTACATTTTCCAACAAACCCTCCAGGAAGTATCACCCAACATAAAGTTATAAAACGTTTTTGCATATTTCAGTTCCTGTGGACAAAAGGAGGTGAGAGATGTTAGTGATGGAGAAGTGGGTGGAGCGGTCATGGAGCAGGACAAAGGGTGGGTGGGTGTAACAGGAAGAAAGGGCTCTCTGAGGTCATGGGCTGTTGTAACATCAGCTGATGCTCAACATAAGTGCAAAAAGACTTATTGTCCTTTGGGCAAAAGTAACCGAAAACCATTCATCTCTGCAATCTGATTGGTCAGAGTTTGAGACAAGTGATTCAAAAACAGCAGGACTAGAGCTGAAGCATATTCCTCTCTGCAACTTAACCAGCTGTGGAAAACCTGATACAGGCTGCCAGATTCACCACTCACCTGTATAACCTTGTATAGGGGCTCCCAGATGGCCATTAGCTTCAGGGGGCTATCTGATGATAGGGGTGGGGGTGAAAATGGAGTGTTTATTTTTAGACTTTCAGAAAAAATGTTAACAAAGTTTACAGTGGGGTTTGTACCTGGTGGACTAGAGAGTTGGTTCCTGTGCCTTCGGGTAAGGATAGGACCCAGCCTTCATAGCCTCTGGTTGGGATGCTCAAGGGGGGATGATCCATCTAACTAAGAGCCTTCACTCCTCACCTTTACTCTGTGGAGGATATTCGAGCGTGCTGAGGAATGACGTGTGCGTTTGTTTTGTAGAGTTAGAGGCATTGGAGCATGTCCCACAGTGTGGTGGGTGCTTTGGAAGTATGAGCTGTTTGGTCCCTGTAACCATCGTCCACACTGAAGGGATGTGATTTACACAAGCTCGTTACATCTCAGTGCCCTCCAAAGTTTAGTCTGCTCTGGTGCTCCTCAAACCAGCTTTCCTTTACCTTCAGGAGAATTTAGATTCAGTTCTGAGCACCTCCCTGTGTTAACACTTGGTGGCATGGTACAGTGCATGTGTTGTTGCATCCTTTTTGAATACCAGACACCAGCTGATGCTCGGGCTATTGGCTCTCACACAGGCCAACGTAACTGCAGAAACCGTTCATGTTCACATTAGACACATATGGCTCAGCTCAGGTCTGGACTTTACTCTGTCTCTCTTTGAGCATATGTCACCTTCCTCCTCTATACTGCCTATTTTCAGCTACTCACCTACCCTGTTACAGTCCCCAAAACTATGAACTGCAGGTTGTTTGGTCCATCGATGCGATGCAGTCGGAGCTTTATGTTTATAGAAAGCTTCTCCTAAGAACTTTATTTTAGCCTAACGCCACTCGAACTGCTCGGACTTTGACCAAACACACACGAACCCCAACTAAACTCACAGCTGAAGCTCTGGTGTTTAAGACACTGTGGAAGTTTCCTCAGCAAGAGTCAGAGTGTGTAACATGCTGTGTTTATACGATGAGCATTTCTGTAAGTGAACGTGATGATGAACACAATGAACCTTTGGCTCTTGTGTCACTTTCTAATCCTTAGTTTCGATGGTCTCCCACGTTTGTCCCACTAGTTCTGTTGAGTCATTGCACAGCTGCTCCACTCGTGACACTCATCCACTCATGCACTCGTGACACTCGTGCACTACAGATATTAACAGAAGTGATTTACAAGGTGAAACATAATCTAAGAATCCACAGTTTCCATCACAAACCAGTATTAATACACCTACAACTTAAAAGCACGCACACACAACTATTTGTAACTTTATACCCAGAGCTGGACCTGATCCACATCAGCATAACTCAACATCTAATCCAACTGTCAGCCCGTCCTTGCACCACATGTGAGGCTGAAGCCTTTCACACTTTCAAAAGATGGACGCAGAGAAAGAAGGGCAGGCACCCTTAGAGGGGCACCTAGACGAGGAGGTAATGCCTTCTGTTTCCCTTTGGAAACGCGTCTCTTTGTTGTCCTCGGGTCTTCACATCTGACGTCTTTTTTCCAGAATGGTCTTAATGCGTTGCACCTGGCAGCCAAGGAGGGGCACATAGATCTGGTCCAGGAGTTGCTGGACAGGGGTGCGGCGGTGGACTCAGCCACAAAGGTAAGCTCATTTCCCACTCAGGGTAACTTGAAACATACAGAGAGTCTCAGTGGAGTTTGTATTGTTGATTAGCAGCGTGTGTATGTAAAGCTAACATCTTAACACATTACTTTGAGAAGGTCATATAATAAATAATCAGTAGGTTGAGTCGAGTAAACTAAACACAAAGTTAACATAACCAATGAGAGTGTGAGTCATGTGGGTCCCGGACTAGACCCACGTGTGTTAAAGTGTTGTGAACACCACATGCAGGATTTACAGCGCCTCGACCTACAGCTTCGTGACCTTTGAACTTTACTCTGGGGTCTGACACCCTGCACTGAAACGTTAAGCCTGGCAGGCATTGAGCCCACAGACCCCCCACTGAGCAGGCTTTCAGTCCTTGTACACAGCTGTGTCTGCTCTACCTCGACTCAAACCTGACAAACTAAAACTTGGCTTCTACAGATGGATGGACAAGTGGAAACATGGTCTCTAAACTGTGTCAGTGCTACAGTGTAGCTGATGATCACATGATGTGAGGTCATCGTTCACCGTGGTCCATGCTGTCAGGATCAGATTACTCTCAGATATATTCATAGGTTTTTACCTGCTTATATTTATTCATGAAGTAATCAGATCTGAAGCAGCAGTGAATTAAATACTGTTTATTTGTATCTCAGTGCACATGACAGACTAGACACAACTGTAAAGGACACAACAGCATTCAGTCAGGAGCACTCTGAGCTTATTTTAACAAAAACAAGCAGATATTTGTCTGATAATCTTGTTATCGTTTGATCCCAGAAAGGAAACACAGCGCTCCACATATCCTCTCTGGCGGGCCAGGCTGACGTGGTGAAGATCCTGAGCAAACGTGGTGCTGATATCAACGCACAGTCTCAGGTGGGCCTCGACGCTGAAGCTGTTTAATCCTCTGCCGCTCATCACTGTCAGATAGTCAGGGGTTCTCAGCTGTGGTGTAACTGTTCCTCGTGTTTACCCATTTTGTCCTGTGCTTGGTTCTTTGTGTTAACAGAATGGATTCACTCCTTTGTACATGGCTGCCCAAGAAAATCACCTGGATGTGGTGAGGTACCTTCTTGAGAATGGAGGCAACCAGAGCATTGCTACAGAGGTAAGAGGAGTGTGTTTGGATGATGGAGTAATCTAAACACATTAATGTGATGTTTCCACTGATTTGATCACTTTTTAACTGCTCGGGGAGCTTTCTGCACACGGAGCAAGAAACCTCAAGTCTCTCAGTGAGAATCACACTCATACGTCTCCTCTTAGGCTTTCAGAGTGTTCGTGGAACCAAGTGTTGATACAGCTCTTTCCAAACTAATGCCAAAATACATGATAAATACATTTAATGAAGATGAATTTGAATGCAGGTCATTTCAAATAATTTTATTTACACACCACCAAATCACAACAACAGTCGCCTCAAGGTGCTTCAGACTGTAAGGTCGACCCTACAATAACACATACAGAGAAAACCCAACAATCATATGACCCCCTATGAACAAGCACTTTGGCGACAGTGGGAAGGAAAAACTCCCTTTAACAGGAAGAAACCTCCAGCAGGCTCAGGGAGGGGCGGGGCCATCTGCTGTGATTGGTTGGGGTGAACCCAGGTCAAAATAATAAACAAAACCAACGAAGTCCCGCCACAGAAAACTAGCTAAACCCTAAGAAACAAACGCACCAATGACAATAGCTACCCCTCACGTCGTAGCCCAGAAACAGGAGCAAACAGTTCAAAAGAAAAGGCGGCTCACCCCTTCAGCCTGTGCACGCACAGGCACTGGACTGCACACGTTTGGCGGCTCTCAAGCAGCCTTACACAAATAACACAAAGAAGCCAGGTCCAGGTCTGAGTCTCTCTCCCGGCAGCTGTCAGAGCGGCTTTTTGAACCCAGTCACGCGCCCCACGGTCCAATCAGCAGCTCGCTGCTCTTCATTAGTAACAGATTCCAGTGTTAATGCCACCTCTCCTGGCTTTATGAGAATCACAACTCTTAATCAGCACATCGCTGCATCCAGCTAGTTTAAAACACTGTGTGAACTTTACCTGAAAACACAAGAGCTGGCAGGTGGGCTGCTGGTGTCCCATCGTCTTCAAAGATGACCAGGTTCACACTAACACGAGCGAGTCTGCTGACAGAAAATGTGCTTCAACATCACCCATCAAGACAGTTTGCCAGTGATGGCTGAGGAGGCGTATCTTTGCCAGCTGGTGCACAGTGCTGGAGACGTGTGCATGAGTTCATTTTTGAGGAGCAGGTCCCATCTCAGGATATTTCTTAACTCCAACTCGACTATGCTCGGAGTCACGCTGTCCAGGAGGAGCTGGTCCACTTGTGCAGCTGATTCAGGTGTAATGTCAGTGTCCCTGTGCCTGGATGAGGACATTAGCTAAATGGTCACCACCTGCACAACCCTCGCTTTCATAGGACTGACTTGTCATTAACACCGGAGCAGGTGAAACAGACTCATAATCACCTCTGCTTCCTAACTGGACAGACTGGAGTTTAAATGCCTTTAATTTTCTTGAGCAGTGTGTTTTAAACTTTTATTTTAAATGAGATGTAACCAGTCGCCCGTCTGCCTTCTCCTAGGATGGCTTCACCCCTTTGGCCATCGCGCTCCAGCAGGGCCACAACCAGGTCGTGTCTGTCTTATTAGAAAATGATACGAAGGGCAAGGTGCGCCTGCCTGCCCTGCACATTGCAGCTCGTAAAGACGACACCAAATCAGCAGCCCTGCTCCTCCAGAACGACCACAACGCCGACGTCCAGTCGAAGGTACGGCCATACAGTATTTTGGTTAAGTGTTGGCATGTGCAGAAGTCCAGTGAAGGTGGTGATCTGTGGTTATTCGTAGCTCCATGAAGGCAACAGTGTAGCAGTGGTTCTAGCTTTCCAGCACGAGGTTTGAACCTGTTCTTCAGTTATCCTGCTGAGACGCCTGATTGTATCCTCTCTGAATAATCACAGGGTCTGTTTCTTCTGTCATAGTCCCAAATAGATGAGTAGGTGGGAATGTGACAGATTCATCAAGGCGAGTGGAGTAATGCAGATTTGTGCTGTGTGGGATCGACGGGCAAAGAATAACTGAAGTGAGGCTTGAACCCACAGCAGTTATGCTCCGACCTGTGGTCCTGATTATGACCCACACCGTGCTTCTTGTTCCCAACAGTAGTGATAATTCTTCCCATAACAGTGATTTTCTTCCTGAAGACACTGATCTAGTACAGAGATCGTTGCTATTCCACCAGTTGACAGCTTCTTTGTCGTGATATTCCAGCGAAGCTGCATAAATCAGATGTTTGTGTTTGCATCAGTGTGTCTCTGTCCTCTGTCTCATTCAGTGTCTCTGTGCTTCACACGTCACTAACTGCCTCTCTCCCTTTTTCCCCTCTCTCTGTTTAAATACCGCCTCTCGCACTCTTCCTCTCGTCACCCTCCTCCTCGCTGCACCGGTGTCTAAGTGTAGCACTGTCCACTGCATGGAGTGTGCCGCTGTCTGCAGGTTGTACGGTGGTCGTATCTAAGATTGCATGCACACGGTGGGGCTTGTTTCTAAGGCTGTGGTCTGACCATCAGCGAGAGACTGGAAGGGTTAAAGTGTCCGTTTAATATTGATGGAAATCACTGTTGTGGATGATCTCGAGTTTATAGTTACGACTGTTCCTCTGATGCCAGCTGGCAGCTTGAAGTGACGTGGCTGGAGTGGAAATGATCTTATATCAGCAAACATCAGTGATTATGTAACAACACTATAGAGTCTATTTAGGCTCCACGCACACATCTATGTGCTTCTGCTGCTGGGACGCAGCCATGTTGGACATGAGTCATAAAGAGGAGAGTAGCTCGAGTAGTTACAGTTACTCGGATACTGAAAAACACAACACGATGATCATGTGTGTAGTTATTACTAAATAAAATACTAAGTGAAGTGTTCTCAATAACAGAAAGCGGTGCATTATGTTTATACAGTAACGCCTTTTACTGTGATCTCAGCACAACTGTATGATCTGGCCACCAATACTTCAACAGTGTGGTCTTATATAGAATATTATATGTCTTATATATATAACATTGTAATGGGGTTAGGTGTAAAAAATGCTAATGCTAAGCTAGCCCAATGCTAAGCTACCACCACAGAAAACAGTAGGGAATCACTTCCCTTTACTTCAGGAAGCACGTCAGAAAAGTTAGCAAAAATGCTAATGCTAAGCTAGCCCAATGCTAAGCTAGCCCAATGCTAGCGATGAGAGTAACATTGTAATATAATGCAAGCTGAAAGCAGACCTGTTAGTTCAGAGGCAACAACAGGCCGAGGATGGATTTACTGACCCAGAAAACTTCCCGAAACTTTGTCCGGGGTCGGACTGGGCGACCCGATGGGGGGCAGGACGGTGCCTTTCCTGCCCCCCAACCCTTTCCTCAGTCATTAAAGTCTTTAAGCTATGAAAACATCGTCTTAATTCCAGGTGGTTCACAGAATCTGTGCTTTATTAAAGAAGTAGTAAAAGAAGAAACGGATCATTTAGCTATTTGAAGCCACAGTAAGCAGAGCGCTGTCAGCTCTGACAGGACTGAGACGCTCCAGCCACGTCCTCTGTCGTCTGCACAGCTGAGCTAATGTCTGTGACCGCAGCCTAACTGAACTGATCTTTCCCTCCCCATCCTGCAACAGATGATGGTCAATAGGACTACTGAGGTATACACACACTCCTTCAACTCTGCACAGGCTCACACAGTCCCGTCCTTCTGTCATTTCCTTTGTTATCACTGCCTTGATTTCTCTCACCTCCACAGCACTTGCTATACATGAACTCTCATTTGGTCCATTCTGTGTGTTTCAGTTGATTTGATATTGTTTAATGATAAGAGGCCACCGTGCATGGCTGAGAGGAATGGCCGACCACTGCTGCTTATCTCTGAGGTTTTAGTTTTTCACCCGAGTCTGTTTGATTTCTTTGAATTTGATCATCAGCTCAGGATCACCCTTCGGTTTTCCTCCCCCATGTGGCCCTAAATACATTCAGACTGACTATAAAAACTGAATTGTTGTAATGACTGTTTACTTTCTGTAAGCTTCGATCATGAATGTGTGTGATGTGCACCGTCTCTTAGTCTGTAATTCTGCCTCTTTTTGTGTTGCATGTTTTAGAAATGCACTCTGCTCAGCAGTTGAAAGTATTGTTTACAAACTGATAATATGACAAAGCCCGTCCATATAAGATAACACACTACACTACAAGAAGTAAGACATGCTATAATATATGGCTGCTTAAGTATGGAAGGCCAGTGAAGACGAACGACGCTGACATCTTTTCATGTCTTTAACATCTGGGACATAAGAGTGAAGGTTGAAATAGGATAAACAGATGATTCAACATCAGTAACTCTTCATGTTAAACTGGGCGGAC